TGTCATTAAAGACAATCAGGTTATTACCATCGGTGCAATAGAATTGAACGATGTTTTTAATTTGAAATTATTATCGGATTCACTGTTCACTTGTGTCAATGAAGACCATGTAAACTTAGCTCTTCAATGTCTTACAGAATGTGGATACTTTAATGTTATTCACAAAGATGAGACGACTTAGACATTACAAATTCCGAATCTAGAATTGAAAACATTATTTAGAAGTAAGTTTCTAAAGATTTACTAATTCATTTATCTGCTTCTTCATCTAAACTTATATTTTCACTACCTGCTTTATGTTCTACATTATCGAATATTTTTTTTTTTCTCTCTTTTGTTCCCAATTGTTCCGATTTGTTCTCTTTTGTTCCCGTTTGTTCTCATTTGTTCTCGTTTTACATACAATCTTAATTCCAACTGAATTTAGTCACATATTTAGGGAATTTCTGGAAATACTTTTAGATTTGCAAAAATCTGTTTTTGTTAGTTTTTTATTTACGGTCGAAGTGAGATATTCAATGGCAAAATTACGATTTCTCATATCAGTTATATAAAGTTTTTAAGGTATTTAGATCCAAATTATTGCCGTTTCTTATAATAAATCCTAAAGATTTTAATGACGCGGACATAACGGAGTAAATATGGGATCTAAATGTTAGCTTGCTGTCGAAAACGACACCCAAATCTTTAACCTCTTGTAACCTCTGTATGGAAGCTCCGTTAAAAGTATAATCATAGAGAAATACTTCCGACTTAGAACAATAAGATACATTTGAACATTTACTAACATTAATCGGTAGGCCATTTACGGAGCACCAGTTGCCAATTTTAAGAAGGTCATCTAGAGATGTTATTTTGCGAAAGATTTTCAGATCGTCTGCGTATAATAGCTGGCCTTAAGATCAACTTTGCATCGTTGAAGTTATTATATTCTTTGAGGAATGACCAGTTACAATCCGATAGTTAACAGTGTATAATTCGCTTTCCGCCAGTTGTTCTGTGTTGAATTAGTGTTGGTAAACATCTTAGTTTTTTACTTAGCTATTTGTATTTCAATTTGCAAACTTGGATGGTACATATTTTCAGCCAGTAATACATCGACTGTTTTACATCTACCTGTAAGATAACTTGGCATTTTTTTTTTAGTTGGAAAATATTTCAGAAGTTTACACTCATTTTTCTCATGGAAAATGTGTCTATTTTGTTTAGTAATGTTGGGAACAATTTGCTCAGCTTCAATGTCTTCAGAAAGTCCTGATGTACGTATACGAGGAAGGGGAGATTTAATATTACGAATGTCGTAATTTTCGGATAAATTTTTGTCCGATGCAAGTTTTTGAAGTTCCTTAAAATCTTGACATTCAAGCAAGAAAGCACCGTTTTTTATAGGTTTTACTTTCGAAATTTCAATTGGCTATTTAGCGGATCTATGTTAGTTATAAAGTCAGACTTCGTTTGGGCATTAGATTGATTAATGTTTTTTGGTTTAAGTAGGTAATACAGTACTACGCTTGAGCGTTTCAGCAAAAGTACTTCTGGAAGGTGTTGCAGATGTGATACGAGAATGCAAAGCATCAGGTTGTTGGGACAATTTTGTATTTAAAATTGATATTTCTCACGTAACAAATGATTTTTGTCTTTTAATTTCTTGAGTTCAGTTCACATATTTTCACAGAGATTAGCAATAGATTCAGAGAATTCAGTGAGTATGTTACAAATTATGTCAGGAAGTTGAACAAAATCAGTGACAGATATATTAGATAAGACCGTCTGGTTGGATGAATAATTAACGCAAAGTCCACAACTCCAGTTTTTAAATTTACCAGAATCTTTGAGATCATTGAAGGCGTTTTTGTTAAGCCCAACAGACGAGATGTGATAGTTGGCACTGCATTTTTCTTTGCAAGTTAAGTAATCATCAAATCTGCCAATTGATTTGCAACATTTGTTGCATTTGATACCCATTATTGAACAACAGGTGCACTGCCGATGCAGGCACAAGAAATCGTATCTAGAATACTGATAAGTCGGAGCGACAAAAGGTCAAGCAAGATTAGTAAATAAAAACCCCTCAACTTGAAAGGAACCGCTTGAAATCACGTAGAATCCACTATAAAAACAAAATTTTACTCATACAGGAAGAATTTTCAGACGTGGAAATTAATTAATTAGCAGATAACCAACGAAAAATTAGAGACAAACTAAAAGACACAACCAATTACACGAACTTGTTTTATCATAAAAATAGTCTTCTGTATTATAAAAATGTGTAACCTTTTTAATATCACAAAATAAAAAAAAAACAATTTTAGTAAGTAGTTGTGTTACAAAAACAAATGTTACGTTCACATCGTTACTTAGGTGTAATAGTAATTTTTTTCGACAATGTAAAATTGACGTATCCAAGCTGTATTATAGGCCGATGTTTTAGCGTGATATTGTTTATAGACCATACCAACGCTCGACAATCGACCGTCTTCTCTTTAATGAAAACGCTCAAGAGTCAAAATGCGATATTCGTTATTAAATTTAAATGCTGGACTATCGAGCGTACTACGTACGTAAGAAATAAATTTAGATACAATTGTTATGTACAGTATAATTAAATTCGGACAAAAGCCTTATGAGAGAAGCGAATTTAATTTTTTTAATCAATAAGAAAATTAGCATAAACAATATAATACATTCAATCCGAAAGCGTCTGCAAAAAATTCATTATATGCGTGTTGGTAAAATAAAACCGCGTTAGCACAGAGGTTAAAGCGTCGCCGTCGCGTTTTCGAACATGTGCATTCATTTACTGCGTGTTCAAATCCTGATAAAGCGCAAAATCTTTTTAGCGATAGAATATTTTCTTAAATAAAAATTTCAAGTTGTCAAATAAAATTTCAAAACGAATCCCAAAATTCAAAAAAAAATTGAAGGGCCTTATGTTTAGCCGCAGACGAGTCTGCTTCAGCTGACGCTACAGAGCTGCAGTGCTTTAATTGTGTAGTATTTTCCGCTAGATGGCAGGTTTTTATTAACTAGTATTAACAATGTGCACAATCGTAGATGAAGAGCGTAATTCTTGGTCAAAATAAAAAGCCATTTTGGAGTGTTGAAAACCGAGGGATTTGAATAAGAATTTACTAGGTTTTTAAAGTGTCTAATTGTCCTGGTTTAAACTAGGATATTATGAAAAAACAGATAAAGCTATCAGAATCCATGTAGACGAAGAAGACAAGGTATGGAAAAATAAGCAATATTCATCAATGAATATTTTATGAGGTAAATTGGGGAAACCAGAATATGCTACAGATGTTTTTACCAAATTTTATTAGATGAAAAACTTGGTAATGTAGTCAGAGATATATAGTTTTGATTTCTTTAATTTTTTGTTTAACAATATTTTTTAGTCTAATTTTAAATCTATTCAGACAAGACTTTTGTATTTTTTTTTATTTTACCAGTTATTATCCTAATCTATCAATGAAAAGCCATTTTGGGGTATCTATCTAAATTTTTTAAAGTGCTCTAACGTCCTGGTCCAGAAATAAAAAGTCATTTTGGGGTGTCTAAAAACAAGGAATGCTGTAAGGTTTTTTTGGTTGCTTTTAATGTAATTATGTTTGATTTTCGATGATTTTCAACAGTTTTCCCTTGTGCCCATTGATTTTCCAGTATTTTTTGCGCGCATAAAAAATTATGATTTTTGAAGGATTTTATGTCTTTTTCGATTGTTTACTTTTGGAAAAACATAAATTTTTAGAATTCTGTCTTGTTTTGTAAGGCGCCAAATATACCTCTTCGATTTGGTGTTGTTTTTCCTATTTTTTGCATGCGCCAATTGGTCTGGTCCAGAAATAAAAAGCCCATTTTGGAGTGTCTAAAAATATGGTATGTTGTAAGTTTTTAGAGTGCTCTTGGGATAATTTTGCATGATTTTGGGTGATTTTCAACGGTTTTTTCATATGCCCAATTTTTGGTGGTCTACAGATATTTGGGTATAATAATACTTTTGGGGTGCATAAAAATTAATGCTTTTTGAAGGATTTTAGTCCTTTCTCGGTTGTTGACTTTTGAGAAAACAGCTAAATTTGTAGGATTCTAACTTGTCTTTTAAGACGCCAAATGCCCTGGTCCAGAAATAAAAAGCCATTTTGGGGTCTTTAAAAACAAGACATTTTTAAGTTTATTAGATCTTTTTCGGTTGTTTACTTTTGGGAAAACAGCTAAATTTGTAGGATTCTACCCTGTTTTTTCGTGTGCCCCATTTTTAGTGGTCTTCATATATTTGGGTATTTTTAGGATGCATAAAAATTAATGTTTTTTTAAAGGTTTTAGGCCTTTTTCGATTGTTTGCTTTTGACCAAACAGCTCAATTTGTGAATTCTAATTTGCTTTTTAAGACGCCAAATGTCCTGGTCCAGAAGTAACATTTTATATACTACTAATTAAGAACTGAATGGCCTGTAATGGTTTTTCTCACACGAATGTCAAAAGAAGATAAACGATAAACTGCTGAATTCAAATGATTTATAGCTGAATTTTCACGGATTTTTAGATTAGTCTTATTTATAACGAAATGCAATTGATATATACTTTTCAATTGATTCAAACCCACATAAATAACAAACTTGCATCAAACTTTAAACCGCAAAAATATATTCACCATCACCTCGAATTATGTACATTTATCAATTTCCTTGCTTGCCTAAATGGAAAACTATTGACAGGTATTTTCTAGACATATTCAAGCGACATAATTAAAAATCACTCAATAACTTTTATTTTCTCTTTCGAGAAATTTTATGACGTTATAATAATAAATTTTTATTTACTTATAAAGCAAATACCTTTTCTATCGTATCTCATAAAACAGATTATAACATCAAGATAAAGATTTAAACCAACATATTTCCAACAATATTGCTTTCCGATGATTTTTCTTATAATTTAATAGCGGCCATTTCTGCCGTAATATGATTGCTATAATTTTTAAGACATAAAAGACTCACCTGAACTAATTGAATGACCTCACCCATTCTGGTTCTTTTAGTTTACCATTTTTGATCTGAAATTAAACTTATTGCATTATAGGATATTCTGTATACAGGGTGCGCCAGAACTCGCGCCTCAGAGAAAATTTTCAAGTAAGGTAAGATACCAGGAACATGAAAAAAATGTTTGACATTTTTGACATTTAACATTTTTTTATATCTATTTAATGATACTGATAATCTTGTATATGTTTTTTTTTACAATTATTTAGTAAAGGGACAAAATTTTGTCAGTAAAAGCCACAAACAACATTGAACAGAGTTACAATTTAGGATACAGCTTCCTTGTTTCGTCTTTTAATAGCCCATAGCAAAAAAACTTTGAAAATAGTTTTTCCAACAGAAATAAATAGAGTCAAAGTGCAAATTTTAAACCCTCATAACTTCGAAATTTTTATAGATATTTTTTTAACATTTTTTATGTTCGTAGTATTTTACCTTATATGGCATTTTTCTCTGGGGTGCGAGTTATGGCGCACCCTGTATAGCGTATGTTAACAAAACTCTCCCTCATAATAATATCTCAGACAATTTTTACTTCACGGGGTTAGCCGGAGCAGCCTGTATTAAAATAAGATCACGGAGATAAATTTTGTTGAAATTTTGACTAAAAGTGCCATGATTCAATATTTTTGGTTATAAAACGGATAACTGATTAATAGTTATTTGACGAATTAAGTTCTAAGCAACAGTCATGTTTTATGAGACTTATGGTTTCATCAAGTCCGCATCACTTTATTGATCTTTCAGACCGTCCTGTTACACATAACATATATTGATGATGTCATATAACATTGTCAGCTCAAATATGAATCTACGTTAAACCCACCGAAATGATAAAAATACACGCAAAACAATTATATCATTATATACTATGTTAAAATCGGATTTTTATATATGACACGTTGACATTTGAATATTTTAACGAAACCTTGATAAGAACATTTTTTCATGTCGATTTAGCATTTTGCGCGATTGTGATGCAGGTAGAGGTAGACCATAGAAGTGTAAATACGCTCTCACACTTCCATATTAACCGGAATTTTCCCACTCAAAAGATCACTTTGAAGCTCGGTACCGAGTGAACTGTTTAGAGTTTAGCGGTTTTTTTTCTACTTTTTGAGTAATTTCGCATTGCCGCGAATAAGATTACCTGGCTTCTGCGAAAATTTATGTCTGCAACACATGTTTAAACAGGAAAAATCGGGGTGAATTTAAGCGAAAACTATTCGGTTAGAAAGTCGCCTTGAGGCAAAAATTTTGAGAACACGTGAATCGGTGTTTTACAAAAGGAGGTTCCTCATTCTTGATAAGGAAAACTTTGTTAAAAAGTTATAATATGGGTTTACAATTATGATCCTCTTAATGGAAATGCTCTGCGAGAAGTTTGCTTTAAAATAAAGGTGATGCTGACTAATTTGCTCCAGCACAAGGCGATTGCGTATGACAACTATAAATCAGAAATGCTGAAGCGCCGAGACCTTGCGGAATTTAATTTATTTTTCTCGTTCACGCGCAAAATCGGCTCGCAATTATGATAATTTTGACACAAGATTAATTAAGAGATTTTGTTAGAATAGGGATTTTTTAGTTATCTGTTGTTTTTTCCAGGGAAAACGAGTTTCATTGAGAAATAATTACAAAATTTATTTCATTCTTCGCTAAGGGAATGTGACAGCCCTCAGCACCAAAATTAAACATTAACGTGTTTTCAGAAAAAAATACCAATTTGGAGCAAATAACCGTTTCCAATTTTAGACGACATTGTAAATAATGATCTCAAAAAATCAAGTGAAAAAAACGGAGTGACCTAATATAAAGCTCAATTTTAATTTTGTCTATACCATATAATCACCGTCTAGTTTCACATGGTACCATTAATTGTATACAATGATAAAACGAGTTCTGCGATGGTTCACACTTTTGTATCGATTTTAACTCATTTATACTTCAAACGATCGGTTTGAAATATTAAAAGAATTTCAAGTTTAAACTAATTTATTAATTTGTAATTTCCAATTTTCTTTCTTTCAGGGTTGTACTGAAATAGTTTCTCCATTTCTAATATTAAATTCGCACACAATCGATGCCAAAATGAAAAATTGATAGCATGTCGAACACAACAAACTTAAATAAAATTAATCTAAGGTGTTTTAATCTTGTTTGATCAATATGTTTCCGTGTAAGGCAGAACTACTTTTGTTTACATTATTAAATCAAATTCAACCATGTATTGATTTGTAATCACAAGTTATCAGCGTTCGTTAAGTTACATTATCTTTTTATCTTCCATGCATTGAAATCTAGCCCAAATTAACCGAAAGCTTGACGGGATTGTCGATCGTGAGAAAAAGCCTTGCCCGCCCTAAACCCGATGTTGCCCTTGAATTAAAACTTATTATTCACCCTTGTAAGTTGTAGAATACAAGTTAATAATGAAAGCTAAATCTCTTTTAATTGACGTTAAAGGTATACTGTCATTTCTATTATTATGTAGGTGTGTATGTTAACTTTGAATTAAATTGGTGAAGTGTTTAATACGATTTAGACAAAACCTGGACAAATATGTTTGTTTACTATATACTAACTATATATAATCTACTTTATTGAATGGTATTCTCTATGGCAAAATTTTGAAATAAGTTTTTTGACGTTTGACATTTACCGACAGTGACTCTGCTACTTAATTACAACATTAAAACGAGTGTTTTAACTGCGTTTTATGGGTATGTAAAGGCGAATAGAAGACCGACTGTGAATATACATAAATTTGATACTCCCGTTTCAAATTAGTGTTATTATTTACATTGCTGTTGAATAATGTATAACGGAGTATTTTGTTGGGGCATCGTAATCTTAGTTAAAATGAGAAGCAGTAAACAGCGTGAAATGGAGACGTGGTAAAAGCAAAAAGAAAATCCCGAAATATGCACGTGTTGCTGAATTTTCGAATCATCGGTGATCAGACATTACGAACAAACAACCCGATCAAAACCTACACGGTCCCAGGTCTTCACCTTACGACTGTTCCTTCTGTCACCAGTCAACCGTTTTATATATTTCAATACATTACACGAACAAAAATTAATTTCTGTTTTATGTTCTCTTAAATAAGTTTATTTTTAGTAAAATTGATTTCACTAAAGACTTGTAAAATATGATTGATAAGTTGGACGGTTTTATTTCTTAATAAATCGGAAGACGTATACTGATACGTCATGACTAACGTCTTGAAAGCATCCTAAAAATACGAACGAACAATAATGAATTTGCTTTCATCACTTTAATCACCTCTTAGAAAGTAGACAGTCTTTTATTTCAGATAAAATACCCTAGAAAATAAGCCCCACGAAACATCAAAAAGGAAAAAAGTTATAGATCAATATAAATTGCAAGACAAAGGCTTTTACACTAAATTAATATTAACTAACTTAGTGAAAAATTTACTAATAGCATTCTCTCTTTATTAGTTCTTGAGACAAGTGATTGAACTTGTGTATAGCAAATTAAAACGACTATATTTGATTAAATAAGAATAAAAATAGAAGTACAAGGACTGCCATTTTATCTGAGATTTAGTTAAATCTGTTTTCCAGACCTAACTTGTTTCGGGTTCTAAGTCGTGTAACAGTTTCGGTAGAAAAAACCTCGAACATCATCGATTGGAAAGAGCGTGGAAAGCATTTTAATCACTGATGAAAAATTATGTTGTGAAGAATATTTCGAATTGTTTTTTAACGGTGACATTAGAGACCAAGCAACGAATATTACATTTTTGCCTAAACTGCGTGATAATTGCTAAAATTAGTAGTCAAGCTATTACTACTAACGAGACATTTAAAAACACATAATGGCTGTGTGAAGTTTTTATGTTGAACATTTTTACTAAAAAATGATTAATAGTGGGGTGTTAGTGAACTAATAAGTCTATTAGATTCAGCTGTAGCTGTTTATGATGTGGGATGAAAGAGCAAATTGAATGTCAATCAAATTTGCAAAACTTAGGCGAAGTTAAAAGTGTCTAACAACCCTAACATGTTTTATATTTTATGCCGAGTTTTATGCCAAAACGAGTGAACAGCTACATCATATTAAATCTTTGTAGGTGAAAGAAAATCTCGTTTAAGACCTTTTAGTTAGGTAATGAGTATAGTTGAAACGTTTCCAAATTTTCGTCTTTGGAGATATTTCATGTTTAATGGTAAGACGCTTGTAATTGCCTAATGTATTGGAAAATACCGTACAAAGGAAGAGGAATTACGTAAAAATTTCTGTTAAAAAGGGATGTGAAAGTTGCAAGTAGACGTATAAAAGGTGTCATTATCACAACTTAAAACTTAATTAAATTGATGTTAATATTCTAAATTAATATCATTGCAAACTGTTGTCGATTGTTTCACATATAATGAAAATATTTATTTTAAAACTTCGTTTAGTATTGTGGTGAAGTTTGTTGTTTTCGGTTAATAACAGTCTATAAACTGGGTAAAATAAACGTAATTAGTTTCCCGGCGTCATTCTTATAACAGGAATTTCCCTCCTTGCAAGCATTTATTCTCTACTTTGTAAGTTAATCGGTAAAAGGGATGACGCGAGTTAACTTAATTGTTAAATGATAAAAGTGTAACAGAGACATGATGTGATTGTTATAGTGACAAAAACTTTTTAATTGTTGTGTGCGAGGAAGCGATCAAACACAAAAATACTGTGCCAAGCTTTCGCTAAAGTTTAAACATTTCCGAATATCTATGAATATCTCAACGGTGACATTAAACATACATTACGTAACATCTCACGATATGACAAGTCAGCAAATGTTGGCGTTTGGATTCTGCATGTCGTGTGCATGATGTAGTACATAACGGACAAAATTTGCATTCGGGATGCTCCTGTATAGAGCAATACCAAAGAAAATCACAATTTCTGATGTCCAAGTTTGCATTTATATTTCTTAATAAAGTTTATAGTTTACAATCTGCGTTTCATTTTCAGTATCTTTTCAAAATTCAATATTTACAACTTTTAGCAATTATTGTTTTCTGTTTGTTATTGGTTTCTATTTCTTTAATTTACAGATATTATAGTTACTTTTCCAGTCTTTTATTTACGAATATTTCTGTGTGTAAATCAAATTTCGTTCTATTTGGGTAGCATATTTGTAGATAAATATTCATAGCACAAACATCAAAGCCCAAATAATACAGCGAATATGTATGTGTGTGTGTGATATTAATAAAGTCACGATAAATGAACTGAAATAAAGCTTAATTGAAATGTGATTTAAAATTATCGCAATTAGTGAAAAAGAACATTAACGAAGTTAGGGCTATGATTTCTATACGACTGAAATTAATAAATTTGTTTTGCAATTGCAATTAAAAGTAAGTATGTTTATGAATTTGATTTTTAATCTGTAACAAATATTTGTTAATGTTCAGTTAAAATAAAATACGAAATGAGCAATTGAAAAGTGTTTTTTTTGTTTAGTGATGTTGCAATACATAAAAGTAGAGGTTTTAATTTTATGTGATTGAGTTAAAAAATGATTAAATTTTTAAACGTTGCTTGACAACACAAGCTGAACTTTTCGACGTTGATGAATGCCTTCATCAGTATACAACAATGCCTAAAATGCCCCACAAGCTCTCTAAAGAATAATCCTACTAATTTTGTAGCAATTATTCTGCCTCAATCAAATTTTCAAAGGAGGTTAATCCGCAAAAGTGGCAATATACTGTACTGTCTTTTATATTGTCCATAATCAGTAATCACTAACCACAGCTTTTTCGCAAAGTTTGCTATGGAAATAAAGAAACGTTTTACAACAAACGCCATTTTGGTTTATTATTTTTGGTAGTTTGAGAAATAATACTAAAATATGAAAAATCAAAGTTATTTAAACCTATATTTAATAAATTTATTTTGTACTTGTGACGTTTATTAAAGAATATTTCAAAGTGCCAAAACAATTAAGGCTAATAAAAATAAATTAATTCTCTCAAGGCCGCAATGTCAACAAAAAGTGAAAATAACTTGCAAGTATTAATCTTAGGTAAAGGAAATGCAGATACCGAACGATGCAAAATTACGTTGGTTCTATTTAACAAAGAAAAAATTGAATTATTTTATTTGTAAAAATTGAGTTATAGGATTTGAAGTTTTTAAAACGTAAATTTAAACCTTAGAGGTTTGATGGTCATCTGTCTTTTAATTATTATTGTTATTATCAATAACTCAAAAAAATCAATAACTCTTTTTTAAATGCTGAAATACGTTTTAGGTACAATGTATAAAAATAAAAAGTTTTAAAGGGAAAGGTGTCAATGCAAAAATAAATAAAAAAGTCCAAAAACGCAATAAAAACATAACTTTTTTTTTAAAACAACCAAGTTCTCAAATTTAAACTAAATTTAATACACCAATAATGGAAGTTGGTCACATTTTTTCTGATGGTTTAAAAAATGATTTTGAAAAATAAAATTTGATTTTTTTTATAAATCTTAAAATTAGGATACTGAACTTTCTTTATATTTTTTATCTTCATAGCAATTTTCGTAATCCGGTGCCTATGCAGTGACTACTATCTCTTGATTTGTTAATAGGAAACAAAGCAAAGTTGGAAATAGCAATAATTAATATTATCTCAAAACTATTGTAAGAGAATCTTTGATTAAAGTTCAACACGAATGGCTGGGTTCACAACCGCCCCAAAATTCGAGTTATCATTGACGGATATTTATTAAACTACTTGATAATTTAATACCGCT